GAAGAACCAGACATGCTGTCTAATCCACTACACCGGTACTCGCCTTATACAAACTCATCCGCCTCAACTCTTCACAGCCCCCATGGGCATACAAATTCGTTTGGCTCCTTTAGCCACGGATCACACTACGGTGTAAATCAGCTTGAACACCATGTAGGCCCTTCCAACTCGAGAGAGACGGGACACACTGGCCAACAAAGCCATCACACCCACCGAGCGCAACCATCGGGGTCGACAGGAAAGGTTTCAGGAGCCTCAGGACCCGTTCGAAGGAGAATCAGTCGAGCTTGTGACCAGTGTAATCAACTACGAACAAAGTGCGATGGAAAACATCCCTGTGCGCACTGTATTGGTAGGTCTTGTCTATTTCGGTGGTAGCCGTATGTTTTGGTTGATTTTCGTTCTATCATTAACTCGTGCTCGGGGGGCAGAATTTGGTCTTGGATGCGAATATATGCGAGAGAAAAAGAAGCGTGGTAAAGCGTCAAGAAAAGACTTAGCCGAGAGAGCTGCGGCACAAGCCGCTGCCGGCGCTTCGAATTATAACGGCGATGTATCTGACGGAAAGGAATCCAGCAACTCTCCTACCACGGATGAGAAAGCTGATGGCTTTGTGGAAAACACCAGAAGCAACTCCATGTCAAGCAGCGGTCTAGCTACAGTTCATGACAATCACCTCCGGGGGGAAATTGGCATCGATGCAGAATTTCGCCATGAACAACCAGCACCCACCCCAGGGCAATTTGGCGAACTTTCTGGCCAGTCTCACATGCTGCCACCGATTCAAATTGATCAGGGAACTATCCATGATGACCGTTCAATGAGCATCAGCAGCTATGGAGGACTTTCGACTAGCTACGACCGGCAAAGCCTTAGCAGTGATGACCTTATGGGCGGTAGCCAGGCATACGGCCATCCGCACCAGAACAATATGCACGGGTATTCAGAGCTGTCATTTGGAATTTTGGGACAAGTTTCGACGGATTTCGGCAACTCTTCTGGTTTTCGACTCAGCAACAGTCCGCTTGGGGCTTATGCGGGTCTAACATCAACTACATCCTCAGGATGGGGTATGCCAATATCTTCACCACCAGATCAATTTCAAACGCAGATGCAACACGACTTTAGACAGTCGAGGTTGCGGTACCCCGTTTTAGAGCCGTTAGTTCCTCATATAGCCAACATTATTCCGATATACCTGGCATGCGACTTGATCGATCTGTATTTTGCATCGTCTTCTTCGGCCGGCATACATCCAATGTCACCTTATATACTTGGATCGGTTTTTCGCAAACGAGCCTTCTTACACCCTACAAGACCACGAAAATGTCGACCAGCGTTATTAGCCAGTATGCTGTGGGTTGCCGCCCAAACAAGCGAGGCTCCTCTACTTACCAGTGTACCTTCAGCCCGGGGAAAGATTTGCCAGAAGTTGTTGGACTTGACCGTTGCATTATTAAAGCCATTGATCCATAGCTCGTCTATTTATGCCGATTCAAACGCGGGCCAAACCGGCGCAGCCGTTTCTCTGGGTGGCCTTGGTGTGGCGTTACCAGGTTCGATGAGCGTCGAAGCTGAACTTAACGGCAATTCCGGCTCCTTTGGATCTTCCGGCCACCTGGACGACGTTGTGACTTATATCCACCTGGCGACTGTGGTGTCTGCTAGTGAATATAAAGGAGCCAGTCTGCGCTGGTGGAACGTGGCCTGGTCCATGGCGCGAGAGTTGAAGCTAGGCCGTGAGTTACCACCGAGCGAACCGCGACCCAGTTTCGAACAAAGCAAAATGGAAACGAATGGGCTGGATGAGCACGATATTCTCCGAAATAGCCCCGGCTTTGTTACGGAAGAAGAGAGGGAAGAGAGACGACGAATTTGGTGGCTCGTGTATACCGTGGACCGGCACCTGGCTCTTTGTTATAACCGGCCGTTGTTCCTACTCGACATAGAATGTGAGGGCCTTCGACAACCACTGGACGATGCAGCCTGGCAGACTGGAGACTTTAAGAACTATCCAGCCGACTCCAACATACTAGGAATCCTCCCTGAGAACGAAGAAACTCTTTGTGGGCCGCAGTTTCGGTGCAGGGGATACAGCGTTTTTGGCTACTTTCTCCCGTTGATGACTATTCTCGGAGAGATTGTTGATTTGCACCATGCACGAAATCACCCCCGATTCGGTTCCACGTTTAGAGCCTCACGAGAATGGAGCAACCAGGTATCCGAAGTGAGACGGCACCTCAGAAGCTACGAAGGAAGTCTCAACCTATTCGAAACCCAAAGTTCATTGGCCCAAAACAACGGTGACCATAGAGATATGAACAGCATCCTGGAGAGCCACAACGGAACGCAGAGGGCTCTCGAATTAAACAGCAGCCCGTCTGCTCAGTCGGTGCATACCACAGCTTCGAGCCGCGTGACTAAAGCAGAGGTCCAGACAAGAACTGTGCTTGCATATGGCACGCACGTTATGCATGTTTTGCATATTCTACTGGAAGGGAAATGGGATCCCGTTAATCTCTTGGATGATGACGACCTGTGGATTTCATCTCCAGACTTTGTGACTGCTTCCGCACACGCTGTAGCCGCAGCAGAGGCGATCAACCAGATTCTTGAGTACGACCCAGGACTGGAATTCATGCCATTCTTTTTCGGCGTTTATCTCCTCCAAGGCTCCTTTTTGCTGCTTCTTATAGCGGATAAGTTGCAAGTCGAGGCTTCGCCAAACGTAGTGAGGGCCTGCGAGACCATTGTACGGGCACACGAAGCGTGTGTCGTGACGCTGAGCACAGAATACCAGGTAAATAAAACCCTCCAAAGCACTTGGTAAAAGTAGCCGACTAATTCTTGATGGGAATCAGCGCAAATTCAGTAGAGTGATGCGGGGTGCCCTAGCATTGGTCCGAGGACGCGTCCCCGAAGACCTAGGCGAACAACTACAGCGACGACGAGAGCTACTAGGATTGTACCGCTGGACGGGAGATGGTACCGGCTTGGCACTATGATGATACGATTCTACATGTCTGGTGTTTTGTTGGCAAAGCGAACACAAGCGAGTACGATAATTTCGGGAGGTCTGCGCTCACCGGTTTCTAGACGCGCGGTGTTTCAAACAGCGGATGAAATGCAAACATTGTAAACCTAGAGAGTATCTTGGCTAGTTTTTCTCAAAAAAAAGGTCGAAAATAGCAGTCAGCCTGCAGGACGAGCCGTGAAGCTGCGGGGATTCGTGCGCTTCTCGGGGGGGTTGGGACTTGCGAATTCGAAAACACCATAATTGTACCCGAACGGACGACATATACCGCATGTCAAATAATCTATCACCGTCATTTTCAAGGTGGTCAAAACCCTAGATTCTGAAGTCCCGTGGCAGGTTCTCTCATGCGAGTGTAAACGGAGGATGGGCAGTTCCCGTTGGATCCAACATTCATTTAACAAACCATAGGGATCCAAAACTCGCCCGTCAGCCAGTTTCTCCCAGGATAGGAATATACCACCCATGTCGCTTCTCCACGTTCCGAAATTGAGGATGCAGTGGCAGGTCCGGCCTTGCTCACAACCTTGCCCATGGCACTCTCACCCGCCTTAAGAGATGTTTGAGCAGCAAGCCGAAGAAAGAATACAATATAAATCCACCAAAGCGATTTTCCATGCTTGCTGATGATTTTCCTAGCTTCAGAACTTGGTCAAACCGGGCGGACCGTGTGGGATCTGAAATCGAATCCTTTGGGAGAGGCGCGCGCTGTCTGGTCAAGAGATGCCAAGGCAGTTCTTTTGTCTTCGATGAAGACTTTTCACCGGGCTACGACTCCATTCTTCATGCTTGATCGTTTCACCGAAGCCTTGGCCAATTTCAAAGGTGATTCAGCACTGTCTCGGACGAATATGTCCAGGTTTCTGCCTTGCAACCATCGCACATGACGATAGGTTATCAAGACTACTCTCGATGTTTGCTTGTCAAGAGCACAACATCAGTGTTCTTGTAGCATCATGTGCTTTTGAAAGCGACTTGAGCTCCCGCCCATCATTCACTGCATCATGTAACGTGTTGGTACGCGAATGGTCCGTCCTCCGTTTTCCTCCGCGTCACTCACTCACCAACGAGACCATGCTGCAGGTTCCTAGACGCAGAAGACAATAACAACTCACCAAGTAGCCAAAGCAGGCGGTCAGCCTCCCCAATGCCCATAACATGGGATTGGTCTGATCTCTAAACTGAGTGAGCTGCCTAAAGCCACACCCCTTCGGCACGGCTCATCGGCAGCCACGCCTTCCTCCTTCTTCTCCAAGGGCGTCCATCTATGATTTTCTCTCTCCGACACGCCACCCTCGAGCGAAAGCATTGACTCTCTGAGAGTTATTCAGACTACGTCTACGCATTTTTTTCTTAGCCACTTGTGCTGGTGAAACATATAACATCTCTTCCTCTTCCGTGGCTGGACTGCTGTTGGTGCGTTTGCTGAATCACCTCTTGCTTTGTGAACACGTCGACAAACGGTTCTCCTGAAAGTTGAAAGTGAAAACTGATGATACAAGGAGTCATACTCTGTCTCCAAGACCACAAAAACAGAAAGAAAAAAAAAGGTATGAATCTCGTTTCCTTGTTGGGGCAAGGGGGCCGGGACCCGGGGTTGGGTGAGCCGTGTTTGTTTGTTTTAGCCACAGCCACCGCATCTTGTCTTCTGGTCTTATATTCGGCGAGAGGATAGATGCAAAGTTTGCTACTTGGGCTATGCCTTCATGGCCGGAAATCAGTGTCCTACGTTGCTTGGTGGTGTTGTGGGAGATGCTCACGAGGCCTGGTTTTTGGGGTTGCACCATTTGCTGAGGCATGTCGCGAGAAACGTATTTAATGGCGAGAACTAACCACTTCTTGACGCAGATAACTACTTCTTTATATTTTATCCTGAAGCAGCACCTGAAATCACCTCGGCTTCCTTGCTTATATCAACAAACCCTTGAAACCTCCTCCATCTTGCTCAGACCCCGAAGCAGTCATCATGACCACATATTACTCCATGGTTCCTGGCCAAGGAAATTCTGAGCTTCAGAGTAATAGTGCCAGCGGCCAGATTCAGAACCAGGGATTGATGTTTCCGGATACTACCCCAGTTGCGTCGAGTGCCGTTATGAGCAACGGCTTTCTGGACCACGATATGCATCCAAACAACTTCAACTTCAACTCTGGACCTGGAAGCCATATGACACCCCAGGCAGTTGACTCAAGTTTTCATTCTGATCTTCGCTTTACAGGTGGTTACTTGGAGAATCAGGCCGTCTCAAATGCACTTCCTTTTGAGACCATTCCGTCGTCTATGCAGACGCCGGCGGCAACTCGCGTATATCCTCTCCGTCCTTCGAGCCCCCCTCCCGGTCCGGCTGAGCAGCCAGAGGTAAACTTTGAAGGCTATCCGCTTGATTTAGTCGGTCTCACCATTCCCGACAACGGTGGTCCCGAAGAGCTGGCGCGCCGACAGCTAGCAATCGAGCAAAACCAGGAGAGCCACCGGCAGAATCCGCCCGTGATTCCCGACCACACCCTCGGTGAAATGGCTCCCAAGCAAGTCTTTCCAGACTTCGTCAAGCCCAGCCAGAACACCTCGCCCGAGGAAAAGCTCCTCATGGAGCGCGAGAACAACAGACTCGCTGCCCAGCTGCAGAAAGAGGATCGAGCCCGCAACAACGAGGCAGCCAAGCGCAGCCGCCTTGCCAAGTCTGAGGCACTATCCAATGCCACCAAGCTCAACATCACCCAGTTCATCCGGATTGCGTGGTTGGAAGCCAAGGTGATTGGCCTCGGTGGCAATCCTGGCGACTTCGACTGCATCCGCCCGGACATGCTCCTCAAGATCCGCAACGACGTGCTTGCGCGCATGGACGTCGTCTATGCCCGGCGCAAAAAGAACAGGACCGAGCAAGAGTCCCGTAGAAGAGCGCTTCGGAACAAGGACCGCCAGCGGAAGAAAGCGGCGGCCAACGAGCGCTTTGCTCGCCAGAGAGCTGAAGCCGCTCGTGCCGCTGCTGCGTCTGCTCCTGCTACGCCCGAGACGCCGGTCCAGGCAGCTCCTCAGAGTGGCATGACGAACTCAATGGATTGGGCCTCGTTCGTTCCATCTTACGACTTTGGTCAGACCTAGTCGCGACTCGCGAGGATCAGCTATCCCTCGGTCGGCTGGGGTTGACAAGATAGCGACTTGCATTGGGCACAGATTTGGATGGGACAGCGAGTTTGAAAACATCGAAAGGGGGCACATGCGGAATCGGTTATCAGCGAAATTTCCAGAGATACAAGTTTGGCGTTTCACTGGAAATTGCGGCACGGGTCAAGCTCTCTTCTCGGGCTCGGAGGTTCTTTGTGCCCGAATCAGGGGCCAGTTCGTTCAGTTTCTTTTTCTCTGCGAATACGTGACATGACCTCCTTTGAGACGAGTCTTTGAATGAACGAGACTGGCCTTGTTATAGGACGTATGTCTATTTTTCCAATAATTCAAGACACTCTGCGTGTTCATATTGCGTTCAGGGGGCGGGCTGTTGCTCTTGCGCTGATTGCTGTGTCGGATAGGGCGCTCACGTTGGAGCAGATTGCCATCAGCGAAGTCGGTATGTCTTTAATGAATTTAAGAAAACAGTTTTCATGTCTTTATCTTGCAGACGCTTGGTTCGAAAGGTCCGAGATCGGGCCTGGGATCGGGCCACGCGGGTCCCCATCCTGGTCTTGTTTGCGGTCATGGTGCTCTTAGGTGTTTGCTTTCGCCCAGCAATCCTCTCGACTTGCATGATGGACCTTCGGGGGCTTCTAAAATATTGAGATGACATCTAAGCTGCCATGGTTGTCTTGAGCGAGTACTGATCAGTTTTAGTGCGTTCTATAATTCTACATATATGCTCGTGGCATTCGCGCAGCCACCAATCTCATAACTGTATCATAACTGTAGTTGACCGCGTCTTCGTGGCCATTGTAAGTCTTCAAATGCACATGCATGGTCGCTGGTCTATACAATCCAACCGTACAGACGGTCTATCGTCTATGATGCACCAACCGGCCCTTGACCCAAACCTTCTTGGTGTTCCGGTCATCCCCGTTGTAAAGCCACTTGGCAATACGCTCCTCCCACGTCTCCCAGCCAAAAATATCCACATTGCCGGCATCCACGTAGTCATCATCGTCCTCGCCGGCCCTCGACCCATCGTCCTGCACCTGTCCCAGAGCAATCAGCTGCGCGTCCAGCTGCTTGCCCACCTCGAAGCCGCCGACCTTGTCGCCGAGACCTAGACAGTGCGCACCGCCCCTGGTGGCAAGATACAACGCCTCCTCGACGGTCAACTTTGTCTTTTCCCGCAGCGCCTCATCCCCGATCTGCATTGCCAAATGACGACTCGTGAGCGTGGCCTGCCTTGCGGCTTCTAGTATTGACGGCGAATAGCCGCCGCTCATATCGGTGCCTAGACCGACTTCAATGCCCTGTTCCCACATCCAGCGGACGCGGGCCTCACCGCTGGTAAGCGACGAGTTGCTACAAGGGCAGTGCGAGACCTTTGACTCGCGCTGCGAAATAAGACGCGCCTCGTCCTCGGTAATATGAACCGCGTGGGCGAGTACGGTTTTGGGTGTGAGGAGACCATGGTCGTCGTAGACTTTCGCGTAGGATCCTGACTCGGGGTACATGTCGGCAACAAGCTGGATTTCGCTTTTATTCTCGGAAATGTGAGTCTGAACGGGCAAGTCCTCGCTTTTCTGAATGGCGGAAAGGCCCTTCATCCCCTCCGAGGAACAGGATGGTGCGAAGCGAGGGGTCAAGATGGGCGAGATGAGTTCATAGCCAGGATCAATCTCTTTGATATGGGCAATGGACTCCATGGCATTGTGGAGAGACTGCTCGGCAGATTCGTCACGGTAGTACGAGGGACATAGCTCCTTTCTATCCATGCAGACTCTCCCCACGAAGGCGCGCTGGCCGAGAGACAGACACAGGTCCGCGAGGAGGTTGGTCGCGGGCACGTCCACGGTTGCGTAGTAGGTTGCGGTGGTGGTGCCGTGGGAGAGGGTTCTTCGCACGCAGGCGGTGTATACTTTGCGAGCTTTGGCGAGGTCTGAGAGAGACGATTCGAGGGGGAATGTGTATTTCTCTAGCCAGTCTAGGAGGGTGGATTTGCCGAATATGCCTACGTTGGGGTATTGCGACGCATGGACGTGGGTGTCTATACATAGTCGCGTGTTATTCTCTTGTTCCTGTGAGTTGAGCAAGGCCATGCATACCTATGAAGCCAGGAAAGAAAAACTGTCCCTCGCGACACGCAACCACGTCAACATCGCTGTGCGTCCACCCTGTCTCCTCCAAAACCCTGTCCTTGGCCACATTCACGCTCTCGCAGTCCCTCGCAATAGCGACAATCGTGCCGCCATGGTCGACTGCAACACCCGCGTTATGAATGTACTCCAGCTCCGTACGGGATTTGCTGTGGATAAAGGTTCCCAGAAGGACATGGAACTTCCTAGGTCCCGGGGCCAGTCTCGTAGGCACCATGTTCAAGGGATAAGAATTGTCATTGCACGAGGTAAACGGCAATGAAAGAGAAGAAGAAGAAGAAGAACAAGCAAAATGCCAGTTTACAAAGCCCAGCTCTGGCTGTGAAACTCAATATGCGTGCCAGCGGCTGCACGGCCCTCTGAAGATAGACGGTGAGTAAAGGGTCGTCGCACAACCACGTGGTTCCCCGCATGCACTATCCCTGTCGCCAACTGGGTGAAGCACAGATGCAAAAGAATGATTGCGGAAAGGGAAGAATTCAAGGAACAAGTTGGAACAAGTTTCCTGACGGAAGCGGCAGAGATCCTTCCTTCCTTACCTACTACGTCGTACCCAGGTACCCATTATGGAGTTCAGAGACCAACAAGGGCAGACGTCTGGACCCACCGACAATTGGCTTTTGGACGCGGTCGTCGCCGGTGCCCGAATTAATGCCGTCATTTTTTATCTTTCTCTTCTGGCTACGCCGTCGTATTCGAGATAACGGGACAAGGATAACTCCATAATCCACCGTGCACATGCATACGTACATACGATGCATGCATGTACGCGAGACATTGAATCGCAACCTTGCCGAAGACGATCCAGAAGCACAGAACATCAATCTTGAACATGTTGAAACTCCACACTTAACATAATGCATAGCATGTCTATTAATAAATCGTAACACTGTTCCTTCTAACTAGGTACAGCAAGGCTGTAATAGTACATCAAAATTTCCACAAAACAACTCATGATTTGGTCAATCTTCATCCCACCATTATCATGACGACCGATGCCATCCCTGTCGTCGTCGTCTGAAAAATGAGGGTCCTGGCTTGCTTCCATCATGCAAAGGTCTATACTGCAATAGTTATTTTGCCTTCTTATTTCATAATTAATGCTCATCTCTTTCTTCTCTTGTCCCTTCTCTCGTTGCCTTCTCGCCCGCGAATCACCCCTTAGGCCGCGGCACCAGGCCCGTCGTAGCCCACGCTTGATGAGCTGTCGCTAACAGCCTTGCTCTCGTCCTCTTGCGTGTACTTGTCCCAATTGGCCAGCACAGCACCAATCTTGGGTGAGTTGGTCAGCTTGTAGACATCTTCAAAGTACTCCTTGGTGAGCTCAAAGGGCTTGGCGGTAACGTTGGGAATGTACTTTCCAACCAGCTTCGAAGGATCAATCGTCGTCTTGTTGATCTTCTTGAGCAGGAATGATCGGAAAGGCTTGACGCCCGATCGCAAAAAGGTAGAGTGGAAAGGAACATCGATCCCGCGCAGAGGGATTGTGGCAAATCCACGCTCCAACTCCAGCGGAAGAGGCTTCTTCAGAGTCGCCTCGGCGCATCCGCGAATGATCTTGCGGAGAGCATCCTTGGCTTCCTCTATGTTGCTTCGCATTTGCTCAATATCGATTTGCTGCATCTTGAGGAAGTTTGTTACCCCGGCGAGTGTGTCCAGGGCACGCAAGTCACCAGCACAAACGTACTGCATGTTGGCAATGTTGTAGTTGACAATTTCCAGTAGCCAACCCGTCTCCTCGGCAATGTTGTTGACAACGAACTGCAGAGCCTCTTCATTAAACGTCTTGGAGATACGGCTGGGATTGACAGCACACATAGAGTAATTGGATCGGCCAGCAGCGTCACGCTCCACAGCCACTTGCATGGTCAAGCCGCGATAGAAAACGACAGAAACCAATGACTCAATGGGCATGACGTCAGCCAAGGCAGCAAGGGCAGAATATTCACCCAGAGAGTGACCAGCAAAGGTGCTGTCACGAGGCACGAGGCCCTTGGACTTCATATCTTCGAAGCTAGCCTTCTCCATCAACGTCAGCGCAGGCTGCGTAAATTGGGTAGCCGATAGGAGACCAGTAGGTGATCGATAAGTATATGAAGTCGTGCTTTCATCAATCTCCTTGAAAATACGCTCAGACTTGATAGAGCCATCTGCGGCAACCGTCTCAAAAGTCATGGCCATGTAATTCTGGCGGATAGCCTTGCCTCGTGGACCACCAAAGTGAATGGTAAGTTCCTTGGGGTTATTCTTGACGATATTCGTGATGGAGAAGCCTGGCCCTTGGTTAGCTGCTGCATCTACAGAAAAATGTGTTGCAATGGTAACATGTAAAAGACCACTTACCATAATTGTCGAGGAGGTACTTGTCAGCCCGATCCCAAACCTCCTTGGCGACAGGACTGCTACCATAGAGTTCCATACCCATACCCTGCTCCTGTGAGCCTTGGCCTGTGAAGACGTAGGCTGTTACAGGCTGTTCGACTTCGGCCTCACCCAGCAAGACCTTCTCTTCACTCTCAGTATTGCTAACCTCGACCTTAATGATCTTGCGGCCAGCAACCATACCAACATGCTGCAGCTTCACCTGAATGTCATCATTGGGCAGAACCATCCCGGCAAATGTGGCCTGGAAGCTCCGGACACGGCCAATATCGTTCTCGGCTGCCCAGGTCTCAACTAGGCTTCGCACGGCAGCACTAGAATACATGCCGTGGGTAATGGTGCCTGGCAGGTTGGCGTAGGTGGAAAAGACACGAGAAACGTGGATAGGGTTGTAATCTCCAGAGACACGAGCGTACGTCTCGTTGGAAGAAGGGGCACGCAGTTGCA